CCTGAATACTCAAAGTACAATATACAGTACATGCTGTGTTTCAGGTACTTGTGTAATTTGTCTACTAGAAAAGTCATACGAAAAGTGGAATTCATTTATCTTCATAGATTTCCTGAGGGAGATTGTTGATAAATATTTCTGTCCCAAGTGGAGGAGCTTCTCCCACCCGGTCTGCAGGAGGGCCATCATACTTCCTCTGACCATTAACCTGTACAAGAATAATTTTACGCCTTTCCATCCACTCCACGTCTATGGTAGTGAGCTCTATAAAACCACAGCTTGGGGTTCCCCAGGGCGCGGAGTCTAAGCCCCAGCCTGCTTTTTCACCAGGGCCCCTGATGGTGGGGATGGACTTGGAGCAGGCTGGGACCAGGTCGCGGCCCCCAGGTACACCCAGCTGAGGTAGAAGAGACCGCTAGCGGGAGCAGGGTGCAATGGGAGTAGAGACAGGATATCCAGTAGGCAAGGTCAGGACAGGCGGAACACTAGCGATGTCAGGAACAAGCCGGGGTCGGTGCACGGATAGACAATACAGGAGGAATGTCAGGGACGAAACCGGGGTCGGTACACGGATATACTAAATGGATTCAGAAGAACACCGGGGAGCTCCAACAACAAACGTTGCTCAGGCAATGTGGCCCAGTCTGAGCACATCTTAAATAGACAGGCAGACAAGGAGGTGGGACAGGAAGTGATGGAAGGGAAGGACATAAAACCCAAAGAATAGCAGATGACGCCCATAGGTGAGCGCAGACAAACACACATGTGAAGGAATCAAGAGCCGCATGGAGGTAAGAGTAAACACACAAGAGGCTGCAGGCAAACTTGTGACATCTGCCATAGCCCTCCCGCCATCTTTCCACATTCCACCCACCAATAAGTACTGACTCCTGTCTGATCTATCTACCCTGTTATAATCAAATTCTCCCTCCCCCCTCCATCTTAGTGTAAATACTCCTCCAGCCGCCACATAAACATGTCCCCCAGCACAGCAGACCCCCTTCCATATAGGAGCAGACCATCTCTAGCATATAGACTGCACCCCAATGAGAAGTCAGCCCAGTGCTCTAGAAACCCAAATACTTCCATCTTACACCAAGTCTTCAGCCATGCGTTGAGTTCTCTAATCTCCCCCTGTCTTTCCTGAGTTGCGCATGGCACAGGTAATATTTCAGAGAATATCACCTTGGAGGTCCTTCCCTTCAACTTTCAGCCTAGTTCTTTAAATTGATTTTTAACCTCCTCGGCGGTATGATTCTTTCCAATTTTTTGTGCTGAAAGCGGTACCATTATTTTGCATGGAAATATGTAGTTTTTTATTGTAGGCCTGTAATTTTTAGGAATAACTCACTGAAATCTGTCCGAACAAGAGTCTAGTAAACATCCCAGGTAGGATAAAATTTGTAACACGAAATCATAAATTATAATTTAATAAATAATCATAAAAAATAATAATATAATAATACATTTAATTCAATAATATAATCAAACCAAAAACACTGAAATGTGAAATACAGAGGCAAATTCGCACATCGCTGAGCAAAGTCGCAGAATCGTTTTCAGTGTCTGATGAGGAATTTCCCCCACGAATCATTATCACTCAATTCTGCAAGTGGTTCTGATTTACTATCGCTGTTCTCTAGCCGGTCTAAAACCGCTTTTGACCTAAAGGGACACTTTTTGGATGCCATGGACTTTTCTAAGTTTCCAGGCAGAAAGAACAGACAAAATGCAGGCAGGGCGCCGGACAAAGCACTCGGGACAAAATGTATGTGAAATGCATTGAAACAGCAATGTTTTACTATGTAATAATCATTTTAAAAAAAAAATGAAATTTTTTAAAAATTTCAAATTTGCCGCTGGTTTCGGCGCCCGTACGTCCCGACGTCACAGGGACGGAACAAGGAAGCCGGATGCCGGCATCGGCCGGAGGAGATGGCCAGGGACACTGCAGGAGACACATCGCGGGAGCAAAGGACAAGGTAAGTGCTGCAGGGACTCCCTGAGCAACGCCGCATGGTAAGCCCGAGTGTAGCTCGGGGTTACCGCTCTTGGTGCTCAAATTTTACCCCGAGCTACACTCGGGAATACCGCTAAGGAGGTTAAGGAGCCTCCACCTTCCATGTATTCTGTCATTGGTTCCAACATGGACCAAGACAGCTGGGTCATGCCCAGCCCCTCCCAGTAATTTATCAACCCGGTCCACCAAATGCCGAACCCTGTCACCAGGGAGACAGCAAACCATTTCGGATGAAGCGACCCTGGCGACAAATTATTCTATCAGTCCTTCTGATTATAGAATTACAGAGAAGCCCAAAAAGAACTAAATTTACCTGACAACCTAGCACCTAACTAGGAGGTTGCCACACAAGTCCCTCCTCCAGGATTACAGAGGGAAGCTGGCCAGGAAATGTCATTTAGCTGCTGACAATTGAAACATGTTTTTCTTTGCTTATATAAACTTTTGCTTGTTTACATCATATATCCGCCACTTCACAAAGGCATCTCCCAGGCATGTTATTTAAAGGAATTATGAGTTGTATTATTAAAATTGAAGCATTAATAAATGAGTTACTCCTCACTGAATGGAACTGTTTGCATAGGTACATGCCCCCCACCCCCCAAGGCAATGCCCAGCTTTCCATGCTGTTTGTTTGATGTTCTTTTGCCTATTAGCCTTAAAAATGGGCTGAACTGTCTTTAAATATTATTGTTCCATTGACTTCAGTAAGGTTCGGATTAACATTCATAACCTAGGAGCAGTTAGGTGAACCTGTCATAAACTGAACCAAGGTGCATTTGCTCTTCTGTACATCCCTCTGTGAGATCTCTGCTATAAAACAACCTCTGATTTCCATAGAAAACACTTTCCTCACTGGGGTCAAGAACATTGATCTTTCCCACTGTGCAATCCCTGACGTATAACAAGGTCCGATTCCCACGAAAATAAATTCCCACGCTGAGGGTTTTTCTCCACATGAATCCTCTGATGTGAGTAAAGTGTAGACAACCGTGCAAAACATTTCCTGCACTCAGGACAAGAATACGGCTTCTCCCCCGTGTGAGATCTCTGATGTTTCAGAAGGTCCGATTTGTGTAAAAAACATTTCCCGCACTCAGGGCAGGAATATGGCTTCTCCCCGGTGTGAGATTTCTGATGTCTAACAAGAACTGATCTCTGTGAAAAACATTTCCCGCATTCAGGACAGGAATACGGCTTCTCCCCCGTGTGAATCCTCTGATGTGTGATGAGTTTTGATTTCCATGTAAAACATTTCCCACATTCGGGGCAGGAATTTGACTTCTTGCCCTTGTGAGATCCGCAATGTATGACAAGTTGTGATTTATGGAAAAAACATTTCCCGCACTCAAAACAGGAATAAAGTTTCCCACCCGTGTGAGATATCTGATGTACGGTAAGACCTAATTCAGAGTTAAAACTTTCCCCACATTCAGGACAGGAAACTTTCTCCTCCCCCTGAATTCCAGCACCATCCCCCATAGTACGAGGTTGCTCAGAGTCAGAGGGATTTGATGGTCTATCCACACTGCGAAGTCCACCATCCATAGCTGAGATCATTGTCTTTTCTCCTGCACAACCTCTTGTGATCTCCTCATCTTCCATTTTACAACTCGGAGATAAAGTGAGACGATCGTTTGAGGGTTTCTCGATGGCGTGTCCTGGAAAAATATAAAAACATAGATACAAGATGGTTAGTTAATTTAACTCATGATTCTAAGTGGATCAGGCAGATATGAGTGAGCAGAGGTTCTCTATGGATGTCCCAATGAGCTGTAACCTTCCTTCTTCAGACAAAAGGTCCTTTGGTCCTCCCAGATCACTTCTACATTTGCAAAGAATTTTCAAAAGAGCAGAAACCAATGGGGACTGGGAGGTGAATGCTCTTCACACAACACAAGGCTGGGCAGTAGTTTGTGTGATCTCTAATAAAAAAGAGGTTCAAAGATCAGATTTGCAGAACCTTTCGCATCAAACAAGTGACCATAGGCCTAGGTGGGGAGTTTCATTTATCTTACAATTCACTTTTCATCTGAGCAAGACTGTAAATAGAGTTTTATGTTAACATTTACCTATAAGTCTGTCGAAGAAGAGGAACCGACCTAAAAGGCACAAACTGTGTTATTATATCTGATATACTGTAACCATGAGTGAAATGCAACCGAATACTGCCAGCTGAACCCCCACAATCTACATCAATCATGTGTGAATTAATAAATTGTGTCTGCAGCACAGAGAAAGGGGTGTATCTGAGAAAAAAAAGAAGAAATAATATACAGAACGGGTATCAGTGACTATTGTCAACCTATTATTGGCTATATACTCATCTCCCACCCTACTCTGGACCAATCAGTGTGCAGGAACAGAGCAGAGATAAGAGAAGAATATATTGTGGCTCACCTGTGCTGATCTCTGTAGGAGTGTCCTCCTCTTTGAATGTCCTCATCATTCCAGCCTCCTCCGTATATTGCTGATCATCCCTCACATACGTCTCTTCTACTTCACCCTCAACTTTCATCTTCATCAGATCTTCACCCTAAACCAACAGAATGGCAGAAATAACATCTGTAATATAGAAGGATTTATGATGTGAGATCACATAGAAAATATCATCTTGTAGAGTCCACACATCGTCTCCACATGTCAGAGAGTTCCATCACTTTATGTTCCAGACCCTCAACTCCACCGACCTGATGATGGTGAGGGATGGTGTGACCTTCCTGGTGGAATCCTGGGAATACAGAGGACGGGGGCATCTCTCTGGTGGGATTCCCATTACTGGATCCATCTACCTGATGATGGTGAGGGATGGTATGACCTTCCTGTGTGGAATCCCCAGAGGACGGGGACATCTCTCTGGTGGGTTCCCATGACTGGATCCATCTGTAGGAAACACACACACTGATTGAATCCATTGTTTCTATGTGTTTATCAGATGATGGGGGATCTAGGTGGATCCCCGTACTGCTCTCTCCTTTACAATAAAGTCTCCTCTTACCCGGTGATGTGAGGGGCGGCTGATTGTCCATCATGACGTCCTTGTAGAGATCCTTGTGTCCTTCTAAATACTCCCACTCCTCCATGGAGAAATAGACAGTGACACCCTGACACCTTATAGGAACCTGACACACACAATGATACAGTCACCATCCAGACACATCCCTTGTCTGTTACTGGAGAATGTCCCAGAATTCCCGGCACCGCTCACCTCTCCTGTCAGCAGCTCCATCATCTTCTTGGTGACTTCTAGAATCTTCTGCATGTTGTGTCTCTCAGGTTTCAGGGAGTCACATGGAGGCAAAGTAATGGTCATATGTCACCTGACTTCACAGGAAGAAATCTCTGTATTCAACAAAAACAGAAATATCATGTCACATTCCCAGAATCCTCCTCACCTCTCCGGTCAGGTCTGTGTTTTATTAATAGAAATAAGAGTGATGTCATGTCACCTCCCAGAATCCTCCTCACCTCTCCGGTCAGGTCTGTGTTTTATTAATAAAGATAGGAGTGATGTCATGTGACCTCCCAGAATCCTTCTCACCTCTCCGGTCAGGTCTGTGTTTTATTAATAGAGATAGGAGTGATGTTGTGTCACCTCCCAGAATCCTCCTCATCTCTCCGGCCAGGTCTGTGTTTTATTAATAGAAATGAGAGTGATGTCATATGACCTCCCAGAATCCTCCTCACCTCTTGGTCAGGTCTGTGTTTTATTAATAGAGATAGGAGTGATGTCATGTGACCTCCCAGAATCCTCCTCACCTCTCCGGTCAGATCTGTGTTTTATTAATAGAGATAAGAGTGATGTCATGTGACCTCCCAGAATCCTCCTCACCTCTCTGGTCAGATCTGTGTTTTATTAATAGAGATAAGAGTGATGTCATGTGACCTCCCAGAATCCTCCTCACCTCTCCGGTCAGGTCTGTGTTTTATTAATAGAGATAAGAGTGATGTCATGTGACCTCCCAGAATCCTCCTTACCTCTCCAGTCAGCAGGTAGATGATCTCCAGGGTGAGGTTTAGAATCCTCTCAGTCATGTGACTCCGGTCCTCTTCCATCCTCATGTTATGGTCATGGGATCTTTGTAGGTTTCTCTGTAGATGAAGAATTTGAGAACTTTCACAGCAGAAGGCAATCTGCAAGTCCCAGCGAACGAATCATCGCCGGCACCTGCAGATCATCGGGCAGGGAGGAAGAACACAGCTGTGCCTATGTTTACATAGGCACAGCTGTGTTGTGACAGTGGAAAGTCATGGATCGGGTGTCCCTGCAGAGCTGGGAACAGTATCTATCACTTCCTCTTATACCAGCGCCAACCTAGTGTACACCAAGCACATAGCTAGGCACACACTCAACCCTTTGATCACCATAGATGTTAACCCCTTCCCAACCAGTGTCATTAGTACAGTGATCAATGCATATTTTTAGCACTGATCACTGTAATAGTGTCACTGGTTCCCTCAAAGTGTCAGTGTAAAAATGTTTTCCGCAATATCGCAGTCCTGATATAAGTCGCTAATTGCCACCATTAATAGTATAAAAATGTTTTTTTTAAATCCTTGTATATGTCCCATAGTTTTTAGACGCTATAACGTTTGCACAAACTAATCAATATACGTTTACTGGGATTTTTCTACCAAAAATATATAGCAGAATACCTTTTGGCCTAAATTTATGAAGAAATATGATTTTTAGTTTTTCTTTTTATTTATTGGATATGTTTTATAGCAGAAAATAAATAATATTTGGTTTTTTTTTTTAAAGTTGTCTTTTTTTGTTTATATTGCAAAAAGTAAAAACCGCAGAGGTTATCAAATTCCACCAAAGGAAAGTTCTATTCGTGAGAAAAAAGGACACAAGTGTCACCTGGGTGCAGCGTTGCATGACCGCGCAATTTTCATTTAAAGTAACGCAGCGCCGTATCGCAAAAAATGACCTGGTCAGGAAGGGGGGAAATATTCCGGAGGGCAAGTGGATAAAATAAAGTTTATATGAAGCTTCTGTTATCCTCCCTTCAATCTATTGAAGAATGCTGCTGCTATAGATTTATGCACCTTACTGACCGATCCGTGAATGCTGCCCCTCTCTACCAATCATTCGCTTTCACTAGCCCAAGTTCTAAAATTCAAAATACCAACCACGTAAAAAGCCGTTCACAACGCTGCCCTTACCTACAGTACATCACCAACCTCATCTTAAGATATCGCCTAAATCGTCGTGTTACCTCCTCCTATGCCCACCTTCAGGACTTTTCCAGAACCTCTCCCATCCTCTGGAACTCCCTACACCATGTATGCCCAGTTAACACCTATCTTATTTATTTATTTCAGGTACTTATATAGGACCGTCAATTTTCGCAGCACTTTACACATATATATATATTGTACATTCACATCAGTCCCTAACCCTCAAGGGGCGTACAATCTAAGGTCCCTAACTTACATTCATACACATACTAGGGCCAGTTTAGACAGGAGCCAATTAACCTACCAGCATGTCTTTGGAGTGGAGGAAACCGGAGTACCCTTTTAGACGATGCTTGAAAACTCATTTATTTAGGGAAGCCTACTCCACCTCCATCTAGAAACATTACTTGGGTCACCTCCATCAGATCATCCCCTGCAGCCATTACCTTTTCTACCACCTCCCCCTTCCTTTGAGTCAGCTCCATGAGCCGAGCCCTCCTATCCCTTCTGTATTCAACTGTATTTTAATCGTACCGCCTCCTTTACAGGTCTATTATAAATTGTTGGAGCTATATAAAACCTGTATAATAAAAATAATAATTGATCGTCTTTGACCAAAAATTAATTTTTGTAAATTGGGGTCCAATTTTAGTACAATCAAAATCTGAATCTCATCCATCAAGACTGCTAAGTTCAGAAAGTGGCACATCTCCATAATGAAGAGAACTTTCCGGCCACGTAGGTGGGGGAATGTTGTGCCCCTGAAGGGGGTTTGGTCTGGAGATAAGAGGTGGTCACTTGAAAAAGGGGAGGAACAGAGAAGAAAGGATCAAACAGCCTTTTTACGCAATGCAGTAGATTAACCCCTTAGGTCCCACAGTGAGTATAACAAGCATGCTTTATGCATCTACAGACTGATTTTACTGCTGTGGGTTTAGGAACACTTTAAGCAATCACACTCCTGAACCCTGTGCGTAACGTACTCTTAATCCTTGCACCCGGTGCGCAATGCACTCCTGCACGGGTTGGAACCTCTTAGAAGTTCAACAAACAACACTCAAACCAAATTCAGGGCAGGTCATCTCGAGGGAGAAGGTGACATCTCCACAATGAGGAGAATGTTCCGGCTCCGGAAGTGGGGGAATGTTGTGCCCCTGAAGGGGTTAATCTGGGTTCCCACACTATATATGTGTGTATCATCATCTGCTGGAGATAAAAGACGTCACAGTGACTATGGAGGAAGAGGACGGACGTGACTACGGAGGAAGAGGACGGACGTGACTACGGAGGAAGAGGACGGACGTGACTACGGAGGAAGAGGACGGACGTGACTATGGAGGAAGAGGACGGACGTGGCTACGGAGGAAGAGGACGGACGCTGGCTACGGAGGAAGAGGACGGACGCGGCTACGGAGGAAGAGGACGGACGCGGCTACGGAGGAAGAGGACGGACGCGGCTACGGAGGAAGAGAGGACGCACGGAGGCGACTACGGACGGAGGAAGAGGACAGACGTGACTATGGAGGAAGAGGACGGACATGACGGGGGGGTTACTGGGTGTAAATAGGAAATAACATCTTATTACCTCCTCTGCTGCCACTTCCACCAACGTCTCCTCTCTACTTCCTCCCCACTCACCTCTCACCCGGAACTTCCTGTCTGTACCTGACATCACTTCCTGCTTGTACCTGACATCACTTCCTGTCTGTATTCCATAGAGACTTCCTGTCTCCATTTAAATGAGATCACCAGGTTGTGGCGCTCAGAGGAACTGCAGCCTTGAGTAATGTCTCATAGTGTGAACATGGCCTTGTCATTGTTCCCAAGTGTCCCAGATCATGAAGGACAATTACAGAATTTTAGCTACTGTCCCAGCTTGTCCACATGGACACTGTGCAGAGAGGCAGTGAGGTGATGACGGCTGGAACACTCTCCGGGTTCCATCACCAGGCACTGCAATGATACCAGACTGTTGGGAGCCGTGATCTCCTCTCTGACAGTGAAAGTAGAACTCCGACATCAGCAGAGAGGCAGCGGGAGGGTGGGATCAGGTAAGTACCACCACTGACCACCAATGCCGGGCTGGAGTTACCCTTTATCCTCACACCATTGATGGGACTTATTTTATCCCACTGGCACCAACAATGAGATTTATTACTAGACGTGTTCCGAATCAAAATCCAGATGAAATTTTCATTATTCAGAGATTCGGATGTATCTGAATTTCTAGATTAAAATAGTAAAAAATTTAAACAAACCTGAACAAAAACCTATATTAGTGTTAGAATATAGCTCAAAAGTTTGAAAAATAATGAATAAAAACAGAATAAAAAAAAAAAGGAATAGAATATAAAAAAATAGACTACAATAGAATAAAATAGAACAGAATAAAATAGAAAATAAAGGAAAATAATAGAAATAGAACAGAAAAAAATAGAATTAAACAGAATATAGTTGTTTTCCAAAATTCAAATATCAAAAAGAATAGAGTAAAACAGAACAGAATAGAGTAGAATAAAAAATAAAAGAATAGAATAGAAAAAATCAAATAGAAGACAACATAACAATAAATAAAGGGATAGAATAGAAAAAAGTAGAATAGAAAGAATATATCTGTCTTCCAAAATTTAAATATCGAAAAGAATACAGTATAACAGAACATAGTACGATAGGGAAGAATAAAAAAATAAAAGGATAGAATATAATAGAAAAGACAGGAATAAAATAGAGTAGAAAAAAATAGAATAGAAAATAGTTGAATAGATACAAATAGAATAGAAAATAATCTGATAGAATAGAATAAAAAATAAAAGGATAGAATG